GATCTATTCTTATGTAATTTTAAATAAAATAACATTTAAACCAGTTCATTAGTCATTTCCTGGAACCATCCAATAAGAGAATCTACCATGATTATATAAGCAGATTTTAATTTGTCTAAAATATATCTATCTTATATTAGAGCAAATCAATACACCTGGATAAAAACAACGGTATGCTAACACGTGATAATATCACATCAATATATAATTATTCTTAATTCCACCTGCAGAATGGAATGTTTATAACTATATATTCTTTAGTTAACTAAGATTTCTTAATATGGAAATCTGACCGTGCTTTATCCAGTCATATATAATGCTATTAATACATTTTAATTAATTAAATGAAACCAGTATAATTACCAGTTGAGTAGATATTTCACCCGATTGGTAGTCTCAGGAACTTATTTGGATGTCTCTCTGCATGGAGGTTGGAGTCCCCAAACTTCCAATTCCTCTCTCCTCTTTTTCTTTCTCGTTTGCCTTATCACTTGGTTTATACTATGCATTCCTTAGCTCTGGGAAAGTGGTTAGCTTTACAGATAGAAATCTTGTGTCTTTTTGTTAACTTGAAAATAACAAAATGGAGTCTGCTCTGTTCAAAGTGACTCAGAATATACACTTTTAGTTTCTATCATAGCACAAAATGTCTGCCGATATAAATACCCTGACAGGTTACCAGTTAAGGCCTCACCAGTCACAGACAAATTACATTATGTCTTGTTACAACCACCGAGAGGCCATCAATACCGCCACATCATTCAAGTGGCCCCCCGTCCATCCGGCCCTCCTCATAGAGGTTCTCTCGCTCCTCATAGAGCCTCTACTTAGCATTTCCTTGTAGGATAGATAATGTTTTGCCTCTGGCCTAGCTAGCACCAGTTGACTCAGGCACCTTTGCTCACGATTAAGGTCCTATCTTTTACCCTGTTTTCATTTCTAGTATGTCTCAAACCCATGAACAAGAAGAAGAACTGGCTACGCCCGAAACCCCAACCTGGCCTTCCACCCCAGGCCGGCCCAAGTACACCTACCGAGAACTTAGAACCAGCCAGCCCATACTCTCGCATGTCATGGACCATCCCCAAGCTCGCAGACGAATTATGTTGCATGGGGGTCCCGTTTCCAGCTACAGCCCGCAAGGCCGAACTATATAAAATTTTCATCACTTACACATGTACTCCCCAGCCAGGAGTGGTCCTGCATTCTGAGAATTATAATGAGATCAAGGGTCTGATGTCATCTCTCCTGACCTCAATCACCACGATCAGCGTTAGGCTGGACTCCCCTCAGACTTCGTCAGTCACCTCGTCCATACCAACCCCCACTTTGCCTCTCCTTCCCCACGGTAATGACACTCCCATAAACCCAATGCCAACCACGTCCACTCACATCATGCCCGCACACTTTGTACCCCTGACTATACGCAAAGATATAGTTGCAAGAAAAAGTATGTGAACCCTTTGGAATGATATGGATTTCTGCACAAATTGGTCATAAAATGTGATGTGATCATCATCTAAGTCACAACAATAGACAATCACAGTCTGCTTAAACTAATAACACACAAAGTGGACTGATGAACAGCAAGGCTTTTGGAGATACTTTTATAACCCTTTCCAGCTTTATGCAAGTCAACAATTCTTAATCGTAGGTCTTACTTTCAGAGCCAAAAGCAGCCCAAAACTAGTTGACATATTTTCCGACACACTATGTTGGCTACTTCCTAACATTACTCATTGCCCCTCAGTTCTGTATTATTTGGACAACTTCCTTACTATAGAACCACCTCAGTCCTGTCCAGTAAGTCTCCAGAAGACCCTAGGCTTATTTGAAGCATTGGGGGTACCACTGTCCCAAGAAAAAATGATAGGCCCTACCAGTAATCTTACTTTCCTGGGTATTCACCTGGACACTGTTACTTTACAGTCTAGTTTACCAGGGGAGAAGGGGCTGCAAATTATAGAGATTGTGGAATATTTTCTGGTTAAGGACACGTGTACCAGGTCAGACCTACAATCCTTACTGGGCATGTTGAACTTCGCCATGAAGATTATCCCTCAAGGCTGGTCATTCATATCTAGATTGTTGTGCTTTCTCCCTCTCCTAAATACCGACACCAGCTCCTTATCACTAGATGCTCACACCAGGACAGATCTACACATGTGGCTGCGGTTCCTATCTCACTGGAATGGGAAAGCCATGTTTCTCACACCTCTATCAGATTCTTCACCGGTCATCTGGACCAATGCCCCAGCTCACACAGGGTTTGCGGCCATCTTCGGCAATGACTGGTTCAGAGATTCCTGGCCAGTAGAAACAATTGGTTTACCCTCATTTAACACCACATCAGCCCTATTAGAAATCTATCCGATTGTGGCAGCCTCCAGAGTATGGGGACACGTATGGCAGGGGAAAGCAGTAAAATGCTTTTCCGATAACAAAGCAGCCTGTGACATAATAAACAAAGGCAGATCTTCCTCACTTACTATAATGAAATTAATCTGAAGGTTAACTTGGTTAGCAGCGACACAGCAATTCCACACCACATGCATACACATCACAGGAAGCACCAATACAGCCGCTGACGCATTGTCTTGATTGAACTTACAGGTCTTCTTCAGGATCCATCCCACAGCCAACACCAGACCGGTCAGCACCCCCGCATTCCAAGACCTCATCCTGGACTAGAGAGACTGCTGTCACACAGCAGATACCTAGCCGGAGCAGCCCTCTCCACTAACACGTCCCGTGCATACAATTGAGTATTCACCCTATATACCAAGTTCACTACAGATTATCAGAAAAGCGACACTCATTCTCTAGACTCTGTCATTGCATTTATCTCCTTTTGCCACCTTAACCTTAAATTATCATTAAACACTATAAAGCTATACATCTCAGGTATTCAACACCACATCATTAGTGCCTACCCTTGCTCAAACCCCTTCTTATCCTGTTAAAAACATGTTAAAAGGCATACAATGATTAGACATACCCACTACCTCTTCCACACTTCCTGTAGACGGTCCCAAGTTTCGAGCACTCTCCAACATCCTGGACTCCAAGCCATTTGAAACCAATACTAATCTGATTATCCAAACAGCAGCTTATCTAGCCTTTTATGGTTTCCTACTACCAAATTACTTCACCACTAATAGTTTCACGGGACATCACCGGCACCTCAAAATAACGAACCTCCAAAGACATACAGACCACTACATATTCACCATGGATCACACCAAAACAAATCAGCTAGGTCCACCTACCAAGGTTTGCTATTATCCCACCGGTAATCTATGGTTCCCAGTCACATTATTCGACACATATCTTGCTACTCTGGCAGGACTCGGTCCTAATACTTCACTACTTTCATTACACCCTTAACCACAGCAAAATTCGTACACTAGTTTAGAACTCTGTTCATCAGACTCGGTCTTGACCCCACAGAATTTTCTGGACACTCATTCAGAATTGGAGCCGTTTCGGCTGCTTCAAGCCACAACATCCCAACTCACACAATTAAAAGATTAGGGCGGTGAAAAACTTACATTCCGCAACCAGAACAAGAATTAAGATCAGCATTTAAAGGTCTAGTGCTCTAACTCATGTTCAGTAAAGTAATTTGTTTACTCCAACCTTTTTGCCCTCTTTTATTACAGGCCTACCCCATACGTCAGTTCCAGCACACCACAACCGGCTGTTAAATTCTTATGTACTTACCTTACGACTTTTGTGCCCGACTACAAATAGAAAGGCATAGCCTGTAATTGTGGGAGGGGTTACCCGGCTATAAAAGCTCAGGCTCCCTTCTAATCAGAACCGGTATCGCTGGGTTCATCCCTCCCACCTCAACCCTTTATCACTACTCATGGGTAGATCCTCTTTTATGACAGGCCTGGACTAGTCAGGCCCTCTTTTATGACAGGCACACCACAACCGACTGTTAAATTCTTATGTACTTATCTTACCTTACGGCTTTTGTCCCCGACTACAAATTAATTCAATTTACACTCAACTTGCCCTTGGCAGCTGGATACAAATGCACAAAAATAAGTCCTGTGTTTAAACTCCCACTACTCCTGGGCGGCAGCACCGACCATAGTACACATCAACCCTAATACATACAACAGTGCGCAGGTAACATTTTTTCTTAGGTGGATAGAAAATATTTTGTCTGCTCACAGAATGGATACACACACTAATAGTTTCCTCAAACACAGATAGTATTCACATACCTCATTTATAGGTGAACAAACATAAACACATAGAAACACATTGTATACTTGCCATAATTGTCACTGGTTTCCATAGTCGTTGAAGATGAGTTGAATATTCCTATTGTACGCCGGAGAATTCTAGCCATGAATGAATTGCCTCCAATAGTGACCGAGAAATTGTGATGACCTGTACAGAGAATCCATGGAGTGGATTTTGAAAGTCAAGGAGTGATTAAAAAAACAAAAAACAAACGCACATGGTCCCTAAAGGAGTGGTGTGCCGTTGCCTTCACTATTTGCAAAACCACCTTTATAAACCAGATCACACACAGTAACGTTCCCTCGGCAATTTGGTGTTTGGCTCTAAGTTGTATGCCTAACAGTGCTTGTTCTGACCCACATGTGTGACCTGGCAAGATATTGCCACTTTCTGCCATGCAGTTTATTACCTAATGTAAACTGGTAGTCATGGACACTTCCAAATCCACCAGCCAAGCTGATAACTTCAAAATATTGCCCATATGGCTTGTATGAGGATACTATCCCAACCTATATCCTGTTTGCCTTCACCATAGGTTGTGACCTAAGACCCTAAGAGCATCAACTCCATACCTAGTGTACCTGTCCTGACTCTAGTTTGTGAATTAGGAAACTGGTAATGTTACCTATAGATTCTTGACTCTGGTTCCATAACCTGTGTCCCATTTCCTAAATTCCATAAGTTTTTTTACTATCTCAAAACATAAGCATTGGTTTTAGCCGTTCTGTATATAATGTATATTATGTCATTCCCAACACCAGCTCCAGTTCATACTTACTGGCAAAGACATAGGTGATGTGTGAGTGCTTGCGAATGATCATTAATAGGTGGTACAAAAGCCAGTCAGTGATTAGGGAGAACATAAGGAAAACTAGCACCGGAACACATTGCATAAACTCCATCATCTGCAAGAAGAGGGAACAGCAGTCATTATGTTAAGAACCCAATCACGTTCCTTTAGTGTTTACTGTCTGGGAGGCTGAATCAAATTCTTGGAGAATTGGGCTGTCAAAATCCATGGGGTCCACTGAAAAGGCCTGGATGTTTTTATGTGAAAGAGGATGTACTGGGATACAGTGGCTAACATTGAAATTAATAATAGCTTGCTGATCCAGAAACAATTTTGAGGCAAAAATATATTTCTGTTCTATGGAAAAATTGGAAATTGGTGCAATAAAGGGATTTTTGTTTTTTATTATCAAGTGTCGCAACAGTGTTGTCTGAAAGGGTGAATTAAAAGTATATTATCTTCCTAAATTATGTAATTTCCTACACAGGGGATTATACACTTACTGTTGTCTTCATCTCTGGTCCCTGGATCTTCGGTTTGAAGGGGAAAACATAGTTAATATGTTCTCCTTTGCGTAGAGGCAGCAATGTACGTTTTTTCTGTAGGACAAAACAAGGTGATATGTCAGTCCCAATTTAATCATGTTTATAATTTTACACCACATAAACTCTACAACCAGTTATGTACCTTGAACTTTCCTTAGAAATTGGAAACAGACTTCCAAAGGTCACGTGTTGCCAAAACGAAAATCAAACCCTACGTTCTCAGCTTTAAATTTGAAGTTTTTCTTTTTTTTTATGATTTTGTGAATTAGAACGCTTATAAACCATTTATACTGCTTCAGTTTGCTTGGTTGTAATGACTCCTTCACATGCGGGTGTTTTTAGTTTAGCACTTTGGAGATTATGCTTGAGCTGAAACTTCCACCCTGAATGTTCATTGGGTATAAACCAAGCTACATGGTTGGGCTAATGGATTTAACCACTTAAGGACCAAACTTCTGGAATAAAAGGGAATCATGACATGTCACACATGTCATGTGTCCTTAAGGGGTTAAAGGCAAAATTGTCTGTAACACACGGTAAAGTACTCATTTGAATAGCTGACCCGTTTCTTTCTGCGCGCATCAATCTGTCTGAAGTAGGTAGTCACGTAGAAATTATCAAACCTGATGTTCCCGTTATAATTGGCGATGTAACGATAAGCCCTGATTGAGACAAGACCACATTAGAAACTGGAAGAGGAGGAAAGGTTGGAGAGCAATAAAAGAAATGGCAATGAATACAGTGCAGTGGAAGACATATAAAGGAGCGTGTTTAGCACAAAGAAGCGATGTGTGGAGTGGAGGGCACAGAAGGGAGAGTGGAGAAGACTGATAAGGTAACGGTGCATTGTAGGGATATTGGTTTGAAAACAAAGAAAAGAAGTAAAGGAGAGTATAGAAGGCAGAAACAGTATATCAAAATTATTTTAAGTCTCATTGGAAGATGGGGAACAGTAGTATACATACGAGAAAAGTAGAAAGACAAAGGTACAGGAAAGAACGAGTTGGACAAATGATCCAGCCTTCAACATAACAGATTGCTTCTTGTTAAGGTTCTCCTTGATGTCCGCTTTTATCTTGTCAGGATTAATACCCACCCCAACCAACCAACTCTGTTCTTCTTTCTGTCCAAATAAGAAGCAGAAGCAAAGATAAGAGAACAATAAGGATGAGAAGTGTGTGGATGCCTTGTCTACTTTTGTATGTTACAGCAAATGTAAAGAACTCTGCACATTACACTGAAGAAACCTCAATGTGTTGACAGTCACTGCACAGTATGGGCAGGGGAATATTTGGTAAGAGAAAAGGGTAAGAACTAATAAGTGGAAGAAGAAAAAAGTCTTCCTTGCACTAAGAATGGAGCAATCACTTACCTTTACAACCTCTTTAGTATTGAAACCGTTGTCCATATTATTCATGGTGCCATCGACCTTGTCAAAGGTTTCACCAAAGTTTTCTTCAATTGGAATCTTTTGCTTGCACCATGCGTTCACCACTTGTGGATAGAAAGAATCACCGACCATAAAGGACATTAGAAATGCAAACTAACTAAGCGAATAACTCTAATTACCATCCCAATTTCTTATAATTCACTTACAATTTTTCAAGTATGAGAAAAGTATCCTCATTTAAATTAGGGGTGCCCAAAAGGTAAATCCCCGGATGTTGTACAACTACAACGCCCATGATGCTTTGCATGCCTTTAGAATTACAAAGCATCATGGGAGCAGTAGAATTACACACAGTTGAGATGCAGTTGTGCCAGTATGGATATATTTAATAATTGTTTATTTTTTAAAGGCAATGCTTACCTGATGCACACCTAATACACCAAAGTAAACATTACTGGTGTTTTATTCATATTTTTAAATCCTTTGATTAAAGGAACACTCCATGCACTGTAAACACTACCGCATGTTGTAGTGGTTATGGTTCTAGAAGTGCCCTGGGACCCCCATTGTATGGAGTTCTAGAAACATTTGACCTATTACCTGGCACCTCCCAGGTCCTGCTCCCTGCCTCTAATACTGCTCAGTCAGAGCCAGAAGCTCAGCTGAACTAAGCCTGCCACTGCATGGAGAAGCTAATTGGCTAAGCGCCCCAGTCAGGGCTATATTTGCCGCAGGGCAAACAAGGCATTTGCCTAGCGCGGCACCTTTGGGGGAGGGGGGGGCGACAAAAACCCACTCTAAGTGAACAGGCAAGAGCCTGGGGGGGCTAACTTTGGGCCCCCATCGAGGCATTCAGGTGTTGAAAGTGTAGACGGGCGGCGAGGGAGCGCAGTCCACTGATCTCTTCCTGCTCCCTCTCACTACCTTCTATGAAGCCGGAACATGGCATTATTCTGGCCCCGGTGGTGCGCCAGGGAGCAGAGCAGAAAGAGCATAGTTCCCTCGCCACCTCCATTAAGTGCCCAGCCAACCAAACTCGCAGAAGCCAGCAGCCCCTGGAGTCTGTCAACCCAGCCAGCATCCCCAGCAAGGAGCCCAGCAGCAGTCAGGGACAGAATCCACTCTAGCTCTCGCAAAGGTAGGGAGGCTGAGTGGATTTAAATTTTTTAATAAATAATAATTGGTGAGTGTATGAGAAAGTGTGTATCCATCTTACAGTGTGTGTGTCTGTCAAGGAGTATATGTGAGTGTGTATCTGTCTGTCAGGGATTGTAGGTGTGTGTCAGTGTATCTGTGTCAAAGTTTGTCAAATCAATTAGGATGTTTGTAAGTGTATGTGTATCTGAGAGTGGGTGTGTCAGTGAAAGTGTGGGTTGTGTAAACAGTGTGTGTGCCAATGATACTGTCAGTGAGTGTATGTCAGTGCATGTGTCAATTAGGGCCTGTGCCTGTCAGTCAAAAAAGTGGCCTTGACACAAAGTGGTGGTGCAAATTTAGATTAAGGGGGTGCCTCAATTTAGTCGTGCCTAGGGTGGCACAAATCCAAGAACATCATCAGTCCCAGTTAAGACGTCATACAGGTCTTAAAAAATAAATAAAAAGCACACTGTAGTTATGGTGCGCAGAATTTTTTTTTTAAGGTGGTTTATTTGAGATTAGTTCCCCGCCTCGATCACTGAAATATAGAAAAAAATTGTTTTTCTTTTTTCAGACTTATTGTGAGAGGCTTTAAGTAGAGACACAGATAGTGCTATTAGTGTTGTCTATATTTTCTGAGAATCTCTCTGCATGTCATTCAATATGTATAGGCTGCCATGTGAACTATATCTATATGAAATATCATTCATTGTACTTGTTTTCATTATTATTATTTTTTTAAGTGGGGTAGGAGACTTTTTGTTGGAGAAATGAACTTAATAAGATTAGATGGCATTGCCTTACATAAGCATAAATAATCAGCGTTCAGACTCTTACCGTACATTAAGTTGCAGAGAAATGAAAATTTCATTGGGAGACAGAGGAGAGAGTTTAAAATTGGTATGACAATTGCCCTCATGCAGTCGTCATGTTTCTTGTCAAACCAGTCCTTGCATCGATCTACTCCTTGTTCAACAACATCTGTTAACATAAAGAACTGCTATTATTAGGATGATGGACCCAAATGAGATAAACTGTAGACACTTTCTAGTGCCATGGATTATAAATGGCTTAAGGTCTCACACCGAACTTTGCTTCCTTTAGTTTGTCTTATGACTAATAAAATGTAGGTAGCATTGAGTATGTTTCTATTTACAAATATTTCATGGTTTCTTAAACCAATGCATAGTATAGATCTTCTCAGGACGTTCATCCATTCAAGCATAATAACTACTGAAGGAGGAATTCTCTGTTGCTGTCCACAAAGACCACCTCGAGGCGTCTATATATAAAAAGTCCCTTGGCACAAGAATTAATAAGGTCTATCATTATTGTAGCCCGTCATACGATGATAACTTCATGGTATTATCTTATTACTAGAAACAAACAATCTGGCCAGACACTCACATTCACAACGCAGCACGCTCTTCACACTAAATTTCTTTTGAGTGCCCAGTGTCTTGTTCTTGCTACTCTCCTTCTCATTTTTCTCCCTTTCTTCCTCCGTCTTCGTGTCGTACCCTTCTGTACCCTCTACCTCCGATTCGGTCTCAAGAAAAGCCTCTTTAATGCCATTAGAGTCATCCTTCAATTCCTTTGCTCTTACCTAAAATACATTTTTTAATTACTCACGGTTTTTCTAGGTATATATGCCATCTCTACCACGGTTGTAAAACTAGATACTTTGGCACAAGAATTAATAAGGCTACTGATACACTGTTGAAAAAAAGTTACTAGCAGCAGTTTACACAAACATTGTAACGATTTAAGAATAGCTGTAGGTCTTTATTTCTTTAAATTTTTTTAATTTTTTCACTTAAACTGTATATACACCTCTTTTCTCACTATGAGCTATTTAACCCTCGAGGGCCTAATAAAGATTTATTATTTTGTATAGGTTCGTTTTATGCTCTAGGACTGGCAATTTGTCACCACATACTAGTAGAGCATCCTTCTTTATAGGGTATAGGGACTGAGCCTTGGAAGCTCTCTCTGAGTCATCCCATTCCAGTCTCTTTTTTTCTGTATTGTTACTTTTGGGTTATTCCCTAATACCCCTCAACCTACTCAACTCTAGTGAAGGGTCCCTTTACTATCTGTTGTGCTTTCTCTGAATATAAGTACATACAATTGTATTCTTGACGATTGCTTTGAGAGGGACGGTCATAACTTTCCAAAGCTTTCTTGAGTTGTTAATCTGCAACTCTACCGTGCAGCCGAAAGACTCTGCAATCTCCCCAAGGTTATGTTGGAGATTGCTGATGGGTCCTGAGAACAGAGATTAAAATTATAGTCTGTACTGCAAGTGGGATGAGCCATTGGTGTCAATGAGACATGCATGAACTTACCAGCATAAATAGAGGCCATTACATAGATCATCAGATAGGCGCGTCCTTCCTTCCCCAATATATTGGGTACTATAAGGAGAGTGGCACAGCGGAAGTGTGGTGACGTGCCCCAGCCTAAGGCAAATGTGCCTGCAAACCAGAAACAATAAAAAGAACTGAAGAATATTAAAATGAGAAAAAGCACTTTGAGGCGAGTTCACTCCATGTCCACACAGGGATACCGTGAGTGAGGTGTCTGTACTTCACACCTTCACATTACAGGCCAGTCCAGCTCACAATGACCTCAAGGAACTTTGAACAACATGGCAGAACAACTTTTATTTTAGAAATTAGTTCATCTATACTTTGTTAAATGGCAAATAATTAAATAGATTTGTAGACATAATAAAATATCTCCTCTCCTTCGTTGTCCTGAAAGCTCGGTAGGACTGTGGCATGGTCAAGGCACAAAATCTAGCCAACCAAATAATGTCATAAATTGAGCATTGTCTCAAATGGACCTCATAGTAACAAAAAATGGATTTAAGGGAACTAAAAGGCACTTCAAACCTCAGTAGAGTACTGGAGGAGTATCGTATTAGGTTTTTCTTATGTTATATGTTATGGTGTTGGCTACAAGTTTGCCTTTATCCATCAGTGCGGAATGACTAAGTGTTCCGTGGGAATCCATTTCATTAAGATATTTCAATTGACAGGTAGTATTGTGCTGAGATACTGGACAAGCTGTAAGAGCTTTAGATAGGATTTGTAAGTAAGAATTGTATAGCCCATATGGAGAAATAAATTATATCGGGTATAGCCGTCTTACCTGTTACCGCATACAGCATTTTTACTTTGTACAGTTCGTACAGCGTCAATGGATGCACCAAGGCAAAGTAAAATCCTATCGAGGAGAAAAAAGATGGTATAACACCTTTAAATAAACAATATTACTAATTTACTGTATGAGGCTCAGTTAATTCCAAATACCTACAGACCGATTCTATGATATTCGCAGCTAAATCACATTTTCTCTTTGCACCCCCCTATTAGACCATATATCATCGTGGAGTCCTGTGTCCAAGATAGACAATGAAACATATTCTGTGTTAGTGTAATTGACCAAAACAAAATAACTACTAACCGATTCCAAGTAGCCCTCCAAATGCAACTCCAATTAACATCTTTGATACTCTAAATTCTTTATGGTCACTCAAAAGGAATTGGTTGAGGAACGTAGGCAAAAATGATGTTATGAACCTTTTCACAGCTGGATAGGAAAATTTAGAAAACAGCATTAATAGGAAAACAGAGCACCCTCACCCCACTGTACCCACAAAACAAGTCTGCCATTTTCCGGACAAACATGATACAATTTCTACAAATCAGAGCCCGTTAATACGAGCCCTTTAAAATGTATTAATAACACGTGTAACCCAAATCCCTCTTGGTTCTAATGGGGCTCTTCCAAGGAATTTTTTTTAATATCTTACTTGAATTTGGTCTTTTCTTTTTGCGTCCCCTAACCTTCTCTTCCCCTTCCTCCACATTCTCCATATCAATGACCAGAGAAGCATCCATAGTGTAACGTGTCTGCTCCAGAGGCCGTGTGAAATGCCAAGCAGATAGAACCTGACTAACCAATGATTGCAATGAACTCGTCAAATGATCTGATTGGCTGAAGCAGACAAGTTCAAATATGACATCACAGTGGCACAATCGGATATTCTGACAGCACAGTGCTAATCTTTAGGATACATTATGATATTTTATCTCCTTTATTGCTGGTTATTTTTTGTATTACTTTTTAACAAGGTAAGCCATTTGCTTTTTATTTAAAACATTTTTGCACGTGTTAAAGCAAAATGTAACTCTTTTTCATGAAATTCACTGAGCCATATTGCTTTGTTATAAAGTATTTATTTGTGGCTCTTTAATTGAAAAACTAGACATGAGACAGTAAACAGAGAAAACCCGTACTGCTTTTCTTTTGTTATGGGCAAATATTACAAGTTTTAGAATGAAATGTTGTATTTCTTAAACTGTGTACTTTGTCTTTAAGAGATATTGCAAACTGACAAGGTGTTAGAAATGGAACATATTGTTTTTCATAGATGTTTCTTTAAGCAATAACCTCAGTGCATAATATGTTTGCACCATTTTGTCCCAGACGAATTACAATAACAATAATGCATAAACAAGCTTCAAGGCTATACTACGACACTTGCAGTACACAATATACTGTGGTAACCCCAAGTTAATGGAACTTCCCCAAATCCGGGAATCTCCCACGACTGTACACTTACGACTTAGTATAAACAACAGATAACCTATTCAGACTTTAAGATGCCATCTTGAACTAAGTCAGGAAAATTTCCATGACGTATACACCCTTTAGTTATGGCCTTGTATGTTTGCCAAATTAAGGGAGGTCCTAAAATGAATAAAGTAAATGAACTACGGTAACCCTAAAATGGAGACACCTAAGGTATAAATAGGTGTACTTTTATATGTTAAGACACAGAGGAGAGACTTGGAGACAGACGCTGCTCCATCTTAAAATGACAGAGAGGCTGACATGATGACATGTTCAGAAGGGTATGTTAACCTATTAATGATATTTGCAAGCATTTAATTTAATCTTATAAACTCTGCTATAATGGATTTTTTATGTATATTTTTATATAATAAATATCCAAAAAGACAAAACTATTGCTTCCAAGACAATCCTTATTTTATATTGTATTCTCAATTATTTATATATGTTAAATAGAGGTATGGTATGGTTAGCCCTGCTAAGTTCTATACTTTAAGACATTATAGTGGTAAATAAGGGAACCACCTGCGGTTACACTTTAAAGGACAAATACTGGTCTCTACAGATTTTACAGAGAACATATAAAAATGTCAGTAGTTGGAACTTTAGAAACTGTAGGTTTAAAAGCATGAAAAAAAATCCTACTTTATAAAAAATGCAGTATGGGAACCAATGTCCAGGGTATGTGACTTGAAGGGATTCTCTAGTGCCAGGAAAACCCATTTTCCTGGCACTGTAAAATTCTGGAGTGCCCGCCTGCCCTCATCCCCTATCCCATGTTGCTGAAGGGGTTAAAACCCCTTCAGACACTTACCTAAATACAGCTCCAATGTCCCTCGACGCTGGGTCAGGCTCTGCCTACGCTCCTCCCCCACCGACATCCGCTGGTGGGGGTGTCCTAACGCACATGTGCGGCAATAGCCCTTCCCATAGGAAAGCATTATTCAGTGCTTTCCTATGGGGATTCCGGTGACGCTGGAGGTCCTCATGCATAGCGTGAGGACATCCAGCGTCATTTAGACGACCAAAAGTGCCTAAAGAGATATCAGCTATGCCTCACTGATGAGGCCTAACAAGGCTGAAACGATCGTCTTTGGTTGCTGTGTCTCTCGTGCAGAGGGAACTTGCTGGCATTTCGAATCTCGACTGCCCGTATGGGTGGGACCAGTCTGATATGTTTCAGAGATGTTCTCTGTAATGGCACAAGATGAGCTAAAACCAGCTTAAGATCTGAGCTATTTCAGCTGCTACCCGTTCTCAGTATACTCTTGCGCCCTGTTTTTGTAGGTCTTTAGAGGGTAGGGCAAATTCGTTTTGCAAGTCAGGGAAAGTTTACAGACCATCGGGAGTGTATAGAGCGCTTATAGAGGTTGCCCCCCGAGCCGCCCAGGAATCAAGGAAGATGTTTTCAGATGTTGCGTTGAATGCCTGAATAGGTGCAAAAAAGGGAGTGCATGCCTGACCTGCCATTGCCCCTGCCCATCGTTTCCAGGTGGATGTTAAGAGATGTACTGTGGAGCATGCCTGGTTTAGTTCGTTCTGGGGTCCGTGACATCCATAGAAGGTGTTCTATTTTGTACGGTTGGATGCATGCATTTTCCATAGATAACCATAACGGGGGTCTGGGGCGTGCTAGGACATCATACCCTGTGCTATCTTTGAAGCGTTATAGTATGTTATAATGTTAGGTATACTCAGCCCTCCTTTGCTAGCAGGGAACCATGTCAGTTGGTTCGCTATCCTGTTTTTTTTTTCTTCTTCCAAATATATGAATTGTAGACAGTTTTGAATTGGGACAGCAATTTGTTGGACAATGCTACTGGTATCATGCGGAAAAGATATAACACATGCAGTAGTAGCATCATTTTACTAGCGTGAATGCGCCCAAGCCAGGAGATCTCCATCCCGCACCATTTGTTTGCTTGTATTTTAAGTTTGTGTATGAGGGCCGTATGATTTTCCCTGGTCAGGTGGTTACAGGATCTCGTTATGTTAACGCCTAGGTATTTTAGGGATGTTTTCCTTCAGTCAAAGGGGAAAGTATATTTCAGGGTTTGGATTGTGGTTTTAGAGAGACCAATAGACATTATCTGTTGTTTTTTTTTTCACATTGTTTTTGTAGTATGATATGCGGCCATAGAGCTGAAGAAGATTTATCAGATTCGGGACCGAGTGGTCGGGATGGGTAAGGAAGAGTAAAATATTGTCGGCAAAAAGAGCCATGTTTTGTTCCCTTGCGGGTGTTGGGAGACCCAAAATATCAGGGTGGCATTTGATGTTTTGAACCAGTGGTTCCAAGCAAGGAATGAAAATAAGTGGGGAGGGGGGGCAACCCTGGCGAGTGCCATTCGATATTGGGAAGGAGACGGATAAAAAAAAAAGAGTTGAAAATTTTAGCAGTTGGGTGTCGGTATAGTGCCATAATACTCCCAAGGAATGTGGGGGATATACCAATTTTTAGCAACGCCGCTTGCATGTAGTCCCAGCTAAGGCGATCAAACACCTTTTCCGAATCTAGTGCTACTACCACTCCCTGTTGGCCACGAGAGTCTGCCCAGTCTATTAAGTTTATGACATGCCTGGTGTTGTCCCCTGCCTGTCTGCACGGGACGAACCCCGCTTGTTCTGCAGAGACTAGGTCCGGCAGGAGAGGTTTTAGTCGATTTGCTAGCAGTTTGGCATAAAGCTTAATATCTGCATTCAGCAGGGATATGGGTCTTACGTTCACACACTCAGTTGGGGGTTTGCCAGGTTTGGGCAAGGTCACTATATGGGCCTCCAGCATTTCTCGAGGCACTAGCCCTGAGGATTTGATATTATTAAAGAGGCGAGTAAGCTGAGGAGTTAGAAGTGGTTTGAGGCGGATGTAGTAGTAATTGGGAATGCTGTCAGGGCCTGGGGCCTTATGTTTGGGCAAAGAGAGAAGTGCTTTTTGTTGTCTGGTTAATTGAGGTAAATCCACAGAGTCCAAGAATATGCGAATAGAATCTGAAGTGGGTTGATGCACTGTTGGCTCTGTCTTTAAGTTATATAGTGTGGTGTAATTCTTTGCCAATTCATTGACTATATCATTGGGGTCGTAAAGTTTAGTTTGGGAGGCAGAGGTGATGTAGGCTATTTTGGACTGCATGTACCTGGATTTTAGTTTTGTCGCCAATAATTTCTCCGCCTTGTTTCCTTGAGTATAGAACTTTTGTTAATCTTTGTTCGGTCGTTTTTAACTCTAGGGATTGCATTTCATTTTGGATCTTTTCTAGTTGTGTGGTGAGCTGCCTGGAGGGTTTATGTTTGTTTTGAGCTTCCAGCTCTTTCGGTTCCTTGGTAAGGTGTAGTATCGCTGCTTTCTGAGTTCTTTTTTTGGGATCTGAGTTGGATGAACACCCCCCTCGTGACAGCCTTATGGGCTAGCAAGCAGTTAATTGGGGAGGTTTCCTCCAGTGTATTGTCCGTAAAATAGTTAGATACGACCTGTGATATGATTTCTAGCGTAGGACGGACATCTAAAAGTGCTTCATTCAGTCTCCATTTTCCTCTGCCTCTTGTGGGAAACAGTGAGCGAAACTCAATGGTCACCGGTGTGTGGTCTGGCCAGGATCTAAACCCTATGGACACCTCTACTAGGTTGTGTATTGTGGCTTTGTCTTCCAGACAGAGATCAATGCGGGAGTATGTTAGGTGTAAACGAGAGAGAAAGGTATAGTCCTTCCCAGAGGGGTACTTACTCCTCAAAGTGTCGTACAGGTCATGTGGGAACAATAATTTTGCCAAGGATTGGCTGGTCTTCAGCGCGTTTGGGGTAGGGTTTCTATCGTTTTCACATTTCATATCTAGGTCTGGGTCTAAGGTACAGTTGAAGTCCCCGCATGTAATTACATGGCCTTGCTTCAGAGAGGCTTTCCGCAGAAAGGGAATTTGGGAGTCATTGGGGGCATACAAGGAAACTAAAGTGACCAGGAACCCATTCAAAGCGCCCAATAGGCCCATTTTGTCCTGGTATTGTGCGCTCATTTGAAAAACCCAATCTGAGTGAAAGAAAATGGATACGCCCTTCGACTTATGTGGGAAGTAAGCGTGGTAAGCTTGCGGGTAACGTTTCGTAATCAATGAGGGTGGCTTATGGACACACCAGTGGGTTTCCTGAAAGCAAACGACTGCAGCGCGGGACTTATACTAGAAAGAGGGTTCCCCATATATTCGGTCTGAGGGCAGGGTTAGAATGTTTTCCACCGAAACTAGTGCCCTTAGTGAGAATTTGAGGAAGATG